ACCGCCTGGACCCGGCGGTGAACGCGGCGAACCAGGTCACCGCCTCTTCTGAGGCGACCTCGAGCACTTACTCGTTCGTGGCGGCGGTCTCCAGCCCTGCCGCCAGTATGGCGACGCAGGATCCAGTATGGCCGCCTTCAGTGGGCGGCACTACAGCGCTCGAGGACTACCTGGCCGAGCAGCAGCCCGACGAGGTCGCCTCTATGCCAGCCACGGCGCCTACTACCTTGGCTGTGGACGACGCCCAGCCGGGCGTGGCACCGCCCAAGCAGGGCGAAGACACAACGCGCGAGGGGCCGCCCACTCCGGGCGCGACCCGCTCTAGGGCTAACAAGATTGGCCCCCAGCGGCGGATCCAGCCCCTGTGCTGCCCACTGCCACGGGGGCAGAGCAGACGGTCCGCCAACTGGCGGACCAAATTGGTGGGGCGGCAAAGCCTTCTATGCCGGGCGTGCCGCGGAAGCAGCCCCCGGCTTGCTTCGCTCAGCCGAAGTCTGGGCCCCCAAAGAAGGCTCCACCCGCCTTATCCGAGGCGGATTCCCCGATCCTTCCCTACAGCAAGCCGGCCCCCCCCCCGGTATTGCACCTTGCGACCTCAGCAACTTGCCGGTCCAGGAGGCGACTACGCCCGGGACGGACCCCGTAGTCACAGGGCCGAGATCCGCGTGGGGCGGACGTCTCCAACCCGCCCCCTCCGCCTCCATGGAGGCGACGACTTTGGACCAGGGCCGGGGGGCGGGCGGCCGGAGCACTACCCGTTCCGCACCGCCTTGCGAGCTTTGACAGCCGTCATTCGGCGCCCGACATCTTCGAGCTGCTGCGGGCGCTGGATCGCAGGGAGGCCCAGCCCGAGCGGCGAGAGGCCCAGGCCTCGCCCAGGAGCAAGCCGAACTGGCGGGCAAGGGCCAAAAGCGCTTTCGCCCTTCGGGCGGAAAGGGCGTCAGGGACCAAAGCAAAGGCCTCGCCATTCCACCGCCCTTGAGGGCGGACCCTTATGCGGTCAGACCGCGCAACCCGCTCCGGCGGCCGGACCGCCTGGAGCACGACATCCCCTTCAGCAACCGCCGAAAGGCGTTCTTCAGGCGCTGCCGGAGAGACCTCGCCCAGATCCACGAGATCGAGCGGGCGATCGAGGCCGATGAGCTCAGAATGCCTCCCGCCTCCAGGGAGGCGAGCTACTTTTTCATCCAGCGCCTGCGCCACTGGACTCCGGCCAGCATCACCCCAGACGCCCGGCGGGATGAGGGGCGCGTCTTGGGGTGGCGCCTGCTGCGGCGTAGAGGCCCAGACGCCCGCACCGCCCGCATCGCTGCAAGCACTGCGGCATCCGCCTTTGGAATGGAGAGGCGGCTTCGGCTAGGGCGCCAGGGGCGATGGCGGCGACGAGCCGGAGAACACGGGCGGCCGCCTGATCTGAGCCCGCGGGCCGCTGCACCTAGCCCCCTCTGGGCGTTTCATGGTGCTCAATGCCCTCCTGGGCGATCATTTGGAAGCCGCCTGACAGGCCGCTCTGCACGACCCTTTCTGCGGCGGTCTGCTTGAAATACCGCCTTTTGGGTGGCGGCACTGTCGCCCCTAAGGCGGCCAAGACCACTCTGCGATTGTCTGCGTCAAAAAGAATGCACCGCCTTGGCTCCTTGCATGCAGCTCATGGGTGGCGTAGGCCACATAAGGTCAAAGACGCTCTCGGGCGGCTAAGTGTAATTTGTGGTGGTCTGTGGCTCCCTCGACTGGTGGTCTCTTCGGTCTCCCTTCGCCTTGCGGAGGCGGACGTGGTCTGGGGAGGCGCACTTTGAGGTGGTCACAGGCGTACTCTGAACCCTGTTGCCGTCTTGCTTGTTGTTGGGCGGTGGTTTTGTGGCGTTCGCCAGAAAAGGACTGGTCTTGGTGCGGGTGCCACTCGAAATCGGGCACTTCGGCTCAAACCGCCCGCTGCAGGGCTCCTTGCTTGGCTCAAAGCAGCTAGTACGGCGGCAGCACGACCGGACTCCTTCGCAGAGCTGGCCGAGCGGTGCTCCTGAGGCCTGCCAGCCCTCAGGCAAGGGGGGGTGGCTAGCCTGGGCGACATACCCAGGTACTGGCGCGCGACTTCCCGGACGGCTTTTTCTAGGGCGGCCGCGCTGCTCATTATGAATGCGGCCCCCGCACGGGCGGAACAGCCGCCCGGCCGGGCGGACTCGAGAATCGGCCGCCCTGCAAAACCTTCACAGGCGAACATGCTGGCCCAGACCACCAAGGGGGGCCCATGGAATCCCGGGTCAGAACGTGGGTCACCATCTGCTCGGGGCGTCTATGCGCCAGGCGGGGTACAGCTTGGTGAAGCTGTACTTCCAGGCGGCCATGCACCGCCAAGAGACCGCCCTACAGCAGGCGGTGCCTGACTTGTTGAAGAAGCTGGCTAGAAGGGTCCACAGAGCTGCGACCCGCGGCCTCCCGGGCAACAAGCTCAAGACCGCCTGTGACTTCTTGGCGCTCATGGTGGTGATACAGCCCAGGGCGCCGTCAGCGCCTGCCGGCTACGGCACGGAGGTGCCTCGTCTGCTTCTCGGGCGCCGGAGCCTTTGGGGCCAGGTGGCCGGGCGGCATACTGCCTGTCGTCCGGCAGGACCGGGCGTACCACAACGACGCGGTCTTGCACAAGCCCGACTTCAATGAGCCCCACGGCAACCGCGGGCGCCGTGCGGGTGGACCTATCCCGATGAAGGGACCTCTCGAGCTTGGAGCCGTCAACAGGAACACCGCCTGTGCATGGTTTGCTTCCCTGCGAATTTTCCATCTGCTCAGCCTCCCTCGGGCGAGGACTCGCCCACCGCGGAGGGGCCGTAGCGCAGGCGGAAAAAATTAGTAGGCCCGACCTGCTGTGCATGCGTATCGGACTGCCTAGATCTCTTCCCTGGCTCGCTAGTCTGGCGTGCCGCCCGCTGGGGCGTCCACTCTGCCAACGCTGGCAGGGGCCATGATCAAGTGGCCCGACTTGATCGCCCAATCGGGCGCAGGACCAGACCTCAATGCCTACCTGCAGGCGCGAAACATCAATCGCACAGCCACCCTGGCGCTCATGGGCGCCGACCTTGACCAGTTCAAGAAGGCCGTCGTCGGTGCATGGGCGGCGGGCTACACCGACTCGGCCGGCGTCACCCACAAGCCGAAGGACACGGCGGACGCGGCCGTGAGTGAGGCGATCAAGGACTTCCCACAGTGGCCGGACCAGATCGAGCTCTACAACAAGCTCCTTGGGGGCGAGCGCCGCGAGTTCCCGGTCAAGGAACTCCTGGGCGCCGAGGAGGTGCTCGCCAGACTCTGGCATGAACACACGAAGTCCAAAATGTATCAGGCGCTCACTTTGGGAGAAGCGCTAGGGACAGTGCGGGCCCTCGCCAGAGGCAGAGCAGCCAGGCGGGGGACCCGACCACCCGCCCAAAAGGGCGAAAGGCTCGCAGGACAATGACCAGCCGGCCCCCAAAGCCTGCGGGGCGGGACATTGTGCTGCTCACCGCCTTCGATGGGAGAGCAGCGCTTTGGACAGCCACGCCTTGCACTGGCGTGGGAGATCGACCAAGACTGCCTCAAGGTCACGGCCGCCAAGCTGCCATGGCTCGCCCACAGAGGCGACATCACCAAAGACGACCCCAAGAAGGTCGCGGCGACCATCCGAGAGGCGGATCCAAACAAGGAGTGCCTCGTGTTATTCGGGGCGGCCCCGCCGTGCCAAGACTTCTCCCCGATTGGATCCGGGGATGGCCGCCAGGGGGCAAGGGGGCGCCTCTTCTCCGTCTCCGCCGACTTCGTGCAGGCGATCTTTGACGAGCTCTCGGGCTACAACACCGCCTCCATATTCGAGAACGTCCTCATGAACTCGGCCGACGCGAAGACGGTGACCGAGAAGCTGGGATATCAGCCGGTGTTCGCCTGCGCGGGCGACTTCGGATGGGTCACCCGCCCGAGGCTCTGGTGGCTATCGGTCAAATCACCCGTCCGACGGCTCCGCCCTGGCCTGCGCGAAAAAGGATGGCTTCCACCGCTTGCAGCTCAACACGCCCAGGAAGGCGGTCACCGACTTCTGCATGGGCGGCTACAGCTTCCACGCTGATGTGGCCGCGGGGCGCAAACACGTGCCATGCACCACTACGCCAGCGCCGGCTGAAAAGGGGCGGCCGGCGCCTAAGTCCAGCAGAGGCCGAACGCCCAAAGACGCCCAGGAGCGCTGGTTGGCGGACAAGCGCCAGTACGCGCCTTGGCGCTACAAGCGCGAGGCGATGCTCACCAGCCCCACGGGCGAAATGTGCATTCTGCCTGCCTTTGTCAAGGAGCAACTTCACGAAATTTTCCTGGACTACACCTGGGTCGAGGGGTCTCGGACAAGAGCCGGCACCGCCTCTTGAGCAATGGTTGGCACTGGGGAGTCGCTGCACGACTCTGGCCATCCTCGATGTGATGGCGTCCATGGCGCCGCAGGCCAAGGCCATGCGGAACCCGGCTCCACTGCCGGGATGCTCCACCATACAATGGCTGGCGTCCATTTGGCGTCAAGCCCTGACCTGGGGACCGCCGCCTCGAGAGGGCGACGACGCGCCCCTGCTGGGCGCCACCATGTGAGAACATGCTACACATGATTCCTTAGAGCCGGACTGGAGCACCTCCTCTGGGTGTGAGGGTGGTGGCGCCACGATGTGGGTAGAATACGCAGCCAGGTCATGCAGGAGCTCTCCGACGGGTCGACCAGGCGGTCAAGTCCAACAAAGTTGGCCGCCGGGACGCACCGCCGCGGCCATCCCGGCGCCGCTCTGCACGGACCATGCACCCTGCCCAGGCGAGCTTCTTCAACCAGCTCGGCCAACAGAGCGTGGCTGTGTTATGGGCGGTGAGCTTCTGGCGCAAGTACGCCCAGTTGTGCGCCCGCAGCACGTCCAGGGACGTGGGCGTTTGGTACCGGCCATCCTGGCGCGCAGGCCAGCCGGGTCTGGGCCTAATGCGCCCTATCATGTCGAAGCCCTCGGTGAGGTCCGACTTGATGCCGTCCATGTCCGGGTAGCCCAGCTGGCCCAGGAGGTAGAGCATGAGGGGCACCTGCGTGGGCGTGTCCAGGCGGTGGTGTGGTCCTTCGCCATCATCCAGGAAGATGAGGCAGGCGAGGTGAAACTTCGAAGGGGGGAAGACTGGCGCAGGTCCCATGACAACGCCACGGTGCAAGCCTGACGTCCCCGCTCACGACTACGTGGACATGTCAGCTCGCAACAGGGCGAGTTGGTTCGGCTGTGGGGCCATGACCTCATGAACGCCTATCGCCAGTGGCCGGTCAAAGTGCCGCTTAGCGGCACTATACTGCAAACCGCCTCAGGCCTACCCTCTGGTTCCACCGCGCCATGTGTTTCGGGGCGGCGGCCTCCGTCTGGAACTTTAATGGGGCGGGTGACGCACTGCAGTTCCTTACCCGCGCCCTGCTCTTCCTGGTGGGCGGCCACTATGTCGACGACTTCAATGGGGTGGATGCCACGGACCTCGCGGACTCCGCCTTTTACGGCTTCGCCGACTTCTTCCTGCTCATGGGACTAAAGACCAAACCGTCCAAGGCGCAAGAGCCTGGGCGGTCCCACGTGGTCCAGGGAGTCCAGCTCAGCCTGGGACACGACGGCGACCTTGGCGCCGACCAGGAAGCGCCTCAAGAAGATCCTGAGCATCATTGAGGCGGCCGTCCAGAACCGCCTCACCCCGGAGACGGCCCACCGCCTGGCAGGCAAGCTCAACTTTGTGAACCAGACAGTATTTGGAAAGGTGGGGCGAGCGGCGGTGGCCCCCATTTACGCCAGATCTGGCGCCCACTCGGGCGATAAATCAGAGCCGGCGCTCCTGGCCACTGCGGCGCTGCTGCAACAGGTCCCGCCTCGCCTGGTGCCCTTTACCGCCCCACAGGCGGTCAACTGCGTGGTGTATGCAGACGCCTTCTTCCTGGAGGGCGAGCCGGCCAATGCCCCGATGGCGCATCCACACCGGAGCGCCAACGGCTGGGGCTATGTCGTCC